TGCTACGCCGCCCTGGCGCGACTGCGCAGCTGCCGGCAAGGTAGCTGTGCCTGCGGGCTGGCCTCGGCACAGCTGCGCATCCCAGCGCCGCCTCACTGCATCCTGTGTGGGCTGCAGCAGACGCCTGCCCCTCACTCGCAGCACCGCCTTATGGCGTTGCCTTTTGCACTTTAGCAGGGAGGCCAGGGCAGCCCGTGCTTCAACCCCCCGATTAGTGTTGGGCATTACAAGGGGTGACAGCACAGCACCCAACACATGTGACCCAGCGTTGCTGTGCAAACATTCCAAACACCTCGCAAAGCGTGTGTCCAAATCAGGTCCACATGCAGCCCTGGGCAACAGAGCACGCGTCCTGCTCATCATCGCCGCAAGTCAATCTCAGTGGCATGCGCAGAAGTAAGCAAATGTCGCAAGCTGGAAGCTACGCGGCGGCCGGCGGCCCCCCGACGCCAGTCCCCTGCCGGTCCCTGCCATGAACGCCCATGCAAAGGTGTGCGCCATCACGACCAATCCCACTCAAGCGAGAACCCAGTAACGCTGCCGCGAACCGCTTCAAAGTGAATCCTTGTCACCTCAAGGGGTGCGGGTGAGGGTGCGCGTGCGCATCCAAGCGCGGCTGCAAGCCAGGGTGGCTGACCCTCTGCGGTCATGCCCCCTCCAGGCCGTACTTAGTCATGCGCATGGCCAGTTTTGCCTCCTTGGGGTCCTCCCCCTTGAGGAAGCCCAGGAGGGGCGGGTGGATGGCATCAGCAAAGTCCTCCTGCGGCATGTGGCCCAGCTGGGGGATGGTGGCGAGGTGGAGCAGCGGCGGAGGGGGGGGAGTGTGAGTTGAGAGGGAGGGAAAAAAGGGACGGGACCGTAGTGGGAGGAGAGGTGGGTGAATCGTGCGGTCGGGGGTGGGACACACATGCATTTCCCGGCAAGCTGACTTGGATGAAAGAGCAATGGGACTGTTTGTGCCTGGCATCGCGCAGGCAGCTGGGCTGGGCGAGGGCGATAGGTACCCTTTTGCACAGGAAGGCAGGGTATGAGGGAGCCGCGACTCCTGCTGGGCGGCGCGCGACTGCCGACGCGACACCCCGCGGCGTCTAATCAGATTAGGTGCTCACCTTGGCGGCGACGGTGGTGGTCCGCATGTTGGTGCGCTGCGGCGAGGAAGGGAGGAGGCAAGAGTGCAGGCGGCGTGTGGTTGGGCAGCAGGAGGAAACAAACAGCAACACACGCTGTTCAAACACCACAGCAGCATGTTGCTTGTCTCTACATGTTGCAACGCATGCAAGATTCCACCCCCAAACTAGAGCTTGGCAGCCGCAGGGCAGCTGCCCACCTTGGTCTCCAGGAACGCAAACGCGCTGCGCGTGTCGACAAAGGGGTCGTTGGCGCCGAACAGCAGCAGGCTGGGCTGCTTCCAGCGGCGGTAGCCCTCGTCGATCTGTTCCAGAGGGGGGCGGGG